ACACACACACACACACACACACACACACACGCACACACACACACAAACACAAACCCAAACCCAAAGCTCGCGTTCTGTCTACGGTCTATATTTGTTTTCCTGTGTCTCAGCCAATCGATGTGTTACTTCTGTTCGCACAAGGTCAACCAATGTCTGTGGTGTAGCGGTTAGGCACAAGGTCTTCACACACAACAGACCTGAATTCGATCCCGTACGGGGATAATTTTTATGGTGTGTCCCGGCCTTTCTGCGAGGACCTTTATCCATGTCAATCCGTGTTAACCCTGAAAGGAAAGGTCAAAGCCCGCCCCCTAAATTATCTAAATTGTGTTGATGGGGGTGTATAAACATCTACAGTGCGTTAAAAAGAAAAGAAAAGAAAAAGAACGAGGAGAAAGGAGAGCCGATACACGTACGTTTAGCAGACATTAGAAGGTAGGCCCTAATTAAATATAACTTTATAATTGTATTTAAAACTTACAAATACCTCTGTACGTGACGTCATAGCTGACAAAATAAGCCTTCACGAAGAGTGGAGATCCTGAATGTACATAAAAGATCAAGTAAGTTCCGCACAGGGGGCCCAAGTTTACTGTTAATGTACTGGAAATTGTTCGAGCTTAGTGCCATTTTTCTACACTGTACGGGTATCTTCCAAGCGGAACCTCCGAATTTAACGTCCTTCTCCGATATGACCGAAGCAATAGGCGGAGAGCCTTTCCAACTTTCAAAAACAATACGTGGTGTTCAGAACGCACTGTCGGTCCCTAAAAAACCCATGTTCAGATAACTCTGTCGGGGATTCGAACGCAGGGTCATCTGCTAAGTCCAGAATGATATCAACTGAGCTAACGGTGTGTCCATCAGCAGAGAGCCTTGAAAACTCCTCAAAACACCCCAAGTTCAGATCACCCCTTTGGAGACTCGAACGCTAGGTCATCTGCACCTTAGCTCAGCATGATACCAGCAGAGCTAAAGGGGATCGCACTCTAGAAAGACATTCTGTGAGAACACTACAAAGTATACAACATAAATAGCAATGCAATCATACACTATTGTATAACCATGCATGCATATCCAATGTAGGTACATGTATCATGAAGTGCCAGATCTGAAGCTGACATTGCTTATCATGGTTCACCATCTATTTCTTGGTTCGGATGCTCTCAAATATATGCAGTATATTAACCTGGGCTTACCATGTCACCCATATCCATAAAACGTGACAGTGACACCCTCTATTGTTCTGTTCTCCATATCCATTTGTCCCCAGATATCGATATGGGCAAGATCAGGGTGAACAGGAAGAGGAAGCTACAGGGAACGAGTCACAGAAATCTTAACTGGAATCTGGCTCAGGAAGAGCC